TATGATTTCTCCTTTAATATATTATTCTTATAATATATTAATAAATCATATTATCCTCTCTCTCTCTCTCTCACATCAAATTACCTTGTCAAGTTGTTTTGGTGAAGGCAACCCAAAAGGACCATGCACAACCGGGTCACGTACATACCAAATATAGTTACGAGCTTAGACACTAATCCAACACATATAACATATCAACATGTATGGGTATTATGGGAATCACTTACTTGAGCTCGGCCGATTGCACACATCACACCCCCCTTTTATATACAAGAGTCTTTTTAGAAATTCGTTTTCTTTTAAAAGATTACCAACTCCTCAGTTTGAGTTCAGTCACAACCGAGAGTGTATCCGAATCCCTTAAACCAAAGCTCTGATACCAACTTGTAACGTCCCAAAAAATATAAGGTAAAAATTTCATTTTTAATTCAAGCATAAACACCATTTATCCTTTTCAATAATTCAAAAGTATATCAAAGTAAAATTAGTTATCAGTGTACAATTCCAAAATCATAAAGTTGCGGAAATATGAGTGGATGCACTGCGATCAAGCCGGGCCCTTCCTTTTCAAACCGGAAGTACCTGAAACCATAACCATAAAACTGTAACACAAATCTTAATGAGATTCCCCAAAATACCACATACCATACATATCATTGGGCCTAGCCCTCATATTGGGCCCAACTAACAATAATGAGCCTAACCCTTCCTAACCAATGGGCCTAGCCCTACATACAATGCAAGAGTCATAAAGATAGCTAGCATCCTACGTAACATACATTGGGCCTATCCCTTCCTAATCCACGGGCCCAAACTAACATACAAATGGGCCTAACTCATCATACAATGGGCCTAGCCCAACATACCATGCAATAGCCCGCACGAAAGCTAACATATAATAGATCCTAATGGGCCGACATTGGTGCCTTCGACCCACAGGTATTGTGAGGAGACTCACCTGAATCGCAAAGCTGACCACAACTAACTGCTCTCTTTCCAAAAGATGTATGCTCGACACCTCCTATCAATCCACACAAAGTAAACCCTAAGTCTACCTTCTAAAAAGTAAAGTTGACCAAAAGTCAACCCAAGCCAAAAGTCAACAATCAAAGTCAAAGTTAACATCCTATAATGCCAAATATTCAGCCTAACATCGTGACCAACCCTTGGTCATTTCGTGATAAATCACTCAGTCTGATTGCAACTCATCTCGACTCAACTCAGCCAACTCATACATGAAAAATTACAGTGAGCATCCTTCTCTAACGCCGTGAGCCCCAAGGAGCTTAACAGAAACGGGTTCATTCAATCCTCACGTCGTGAGACCTTATGTATCACGTCGTGAGCACAGTTTGAAGCCCAAAATCCAACATTTAAGTCCTTAATCCATTAAGTCTTTCACTCTAACTTTCCAGAAGGTCTTATAACTCCATAATACACTTGAAAGTCTATTATTTTAAGACATATATGTCTAATACATGTCTAGATCTCATTTGGGTCACTAATTGAAGAAAAGGCCATCCAACTTTCATGGAAGGTTCCAAAACCCAACCATTCACTAGATCTGAACTTCATGATATTCTTAAGGCCCTTATAACCAATAAAGTTGACAACTTTATGGTTTCCATTCATTCAAACTTGTTCAACCAAAGAGGAAAGTGGGACAAAACTTTTATCTAGCCACAAATAACAATAAAGGAGGAAGCTTTGACACTTATAAAGGTCCAAAAATAATGTAAGGTGATGATGATGATGATGATTCCTGGCAAGCCTCTTCAAAAGATCACCTTCTTCTTCTTATTCTTTTCTTCTTCAAACCAAGAATTGCTCGAAAATGGCCAAGAATCAAACAAAGGATGAAGATTAGGATTTTCTGAGGTGAAAGAGGCTTTGGAGGCTGATAATGAACCCTAAAATGGGTTTAGTGGTACTTAAATACGAAGGAAACCCTAAAAGATCATGGTCTTGGGTTGCATCAGTTCTCACGTCGTGAACCTCTATGTATCACGTCGTGAGACCAGTCCCGAACAAAAGTTTTCATATTAGCCCATCGCACATCATGATCCTCTATGTCTTACGTCGTGAGGCTCATTTCGTCCCATAATCCACCATTTTGACTCCTTGAAACCATAATCCGATTCGTCCAGGAAAACGGGTGTTACACGAAAGAAGATATTTTCGTTTTCTCACGGTATCTAGATTTTCTAATGAAACAATTGCCAAACCGAACCCAAGAGATATGTTCATGTTCTCATGGTACCCACCAAAACTTATTCGAGCCTCCTTGAATTGGTGATGACTTTTTTGATGGGTTTTAATCAATCTTGGTGGAAGATTATGACGCTATACAAAGCAAGACCAAAAATGGAGAAGATATATATATGCAGTTAGTTAGTTTTGTGATTGTCAAAGCCATAAGAGATGCAATAAATCCTTGTGACGACTTTCAATTAACTTCAAATTCTCAAATCCTCTCTGGCACTCCATTACAGCAAGTATAGATCCAGTAATTAAAAATCACATACTAAATGACGACTACAAACTGTTCGATGAGATGTCTACAGGAATACATCACATATTTACTCAATTTTTCTATAGGAGGAGGCTAATGATCCAGAAACGTACATCGATGTTGAGGAAGAATATAGTGGTGCCAAGATGAGGGGGTTTCTATTGCACCAATTCCATAGAGGTGATAAAAGATGTTGATATTTTGGAGAGTAAAACAACGATGGTGAACATGAATGTCACAGGTGAGGGAGGAGGAGCGTCACCCATGGATATTTGTTATTTTGTTTGGATCAGGAAAAAGAATGGAATCCGAAAACAATTTATATAAACAAGTTTTATGAATGGGGAGGCGAAAAGTTTCTAGGTTCAGGTCGACGAGGAGGTTTCTAGCTTTCGGTCGCTCGTGGTGTGAGTGTCGGTGATGAAAAAGATAAAGGAAAATGGTGGTTTGAGTAGTGGAACTTATGGAATGGAAGAAGGTGGTGCTTTGGAGATGTAGACGATGGGGGTGGGTGGGTATGGGAAGGTGGGTCCTTATTTAATAATTTCTATTACTAAAAATTATAAATAGTCAAAGATAAGAAATTAAAAAGGGTATAATTGTTTTTCCTATATGCACCAGGGACCAACACTATAATTTCTTCATACCATAGGTAAACGATTTGTCAATATTGAAAAGGTTGGGTCAAATGTACGAATTTGACCAAACCATATGGACCAAAACTGTACTTTACTCAAAATTATATGATGTGTCCTTCATTTGTATCCATACGATTAAGAATTTCCGGGAAAAAATAAGTCACTAAACAACAAGGACCAAAACGATTGGAAAAGTTTTAAAAGTCTACATTGAAAGAAGAATTAGAATTTTGTAATATCTTTTTTATGTATATACAAGGTCACAATCGAATTCTATATTCTAGATAATTTCTTCCTATAAATTCTCACTCATATCACCCTTTAACTCCAACAACCTTAAGTATCTTTTGTTATCACTAAACAAAATAAAAAATGGGCCATGGGAACAACAAATTACTTCTTCTCGCTATATTCATGGGAATTATCAACTTTTCTCAAGCACAAAACTCGCCACAAGACTTTGTTAATGCCCATAATCGAGCTCGAGCTCAGGTTGGTGTGGGGCCCATGACATGGGATAGTCGTGTGGCTAGTTTCGCACAAAATTATGCCAATCAAAGACGTGGTGACTGTCGGATGGTGCACTCCCAAAACCGTCCCTATGGTGAAAATCTTGCCTCTGGTTCAGGGTTTGTCATGACCGGTGTAGATGCTGTGAACATGTGGGTTGGCGAGAAGGCCAATTATGATTATAATTCAAACACTTGTGCTCCGAACAAAGTGTGTGGGCATTATACTCAAGTTGTTTGGCGCAATTCGGTTCGTCTTGGTTGTGCAAGAGTTCAATGCAATAATGGTGCATGGTTCGTGACGTGCAACTATGATCCCCCCGGCAACTATGTTGGGCAAAAACCTTACTGAAGTTGCATATATGAAATAATTTGCTCGCACTCGCATGAAGTATAACTTTCGAGTGTATGATTAAATAAATCATACTTGAAATATATTTTCAAGTGACTGATTAAATAATTGTAATAATTGGATGGATGTAAGAAACATATGTTAATAGATGTTCTTCCATTCTTTTTCTAGTTTTATAAAGTATGGTACCACAAGTATTTTGGTCTAAGATCTAAACATGCTTCAAGAATTAAAAAATATGTACAACACATATTTACCCAATATATAAATATGTATATGCATTATGTCAAATAACCAGTAAAACTTCAAATGGTTTTGGCTTTGAGCATATAATCTCGGTATTTCGTAAGTGTCAGAGATGACCATGATTCGTTACATCTTTCTGCTGATAAGTTACAACCTTTATCAATACATATAATAAACCGAAGGTCTTGATCATTTTCACGCCATAACATACTTAATTTGGGCCTTGGATAAATAAAAATGAGTGTCATAAGAGTAAAAGATTTTACTTACAATAAAATAAATGGCTAATGTCATTCTAACCCAACAAACTTTTTCGAATTAGTTTAAATGGTACTTGATATTTTTTTTGGCTTCTTAGGGGCATAATGTGGGTTTTGTCGGGTTTAAAAAGTCATTTTTGAAATTTAGAAGGGGTAAACGGCTTATCCATTTACCATGTCATTAAATAAAATGCAACATAAGTTCATTTTTAATAAAATTTTAATAGAGCTGTCGCCCTCCTTTACCAAAAAAAAGCCACATAAGATAAAATGGAAGAATCGGTGGATTAGATCCTTTACTTTATAGACTTTCCGGTCCATGTTTAGATCTGAAGTTGAAGAAGAAAGTAACCTTTTCTCCGATGCCGCTAGGAAAGCTCCCTTCTAGGTATTTTCACCTCCGAAATTTTCTTTTACACTCTTATAATTTCCAACCTCTAATTGAACATCAATGGCTCGTACTAAGTAGACGACGAGGAAATCCACCTGATGAAAGGCTCCAAGGAAGCAGTTGTCCACTAAAACAACAAGGAAGTCTGCTCCGGCAACCGGAGGAGTGAAGAAGCCACACAAATTCAGACCAGGAACTGTAGCTCTGCGAGAAATAAGAAATTAGAAAGTATGAGAAAAAGTTGTTGATCAGGAAACACCCAGTTTTGAACAGATCTTCGATTTCAGAGCTCTGTTGTTGCTGCATTCTAGGTGGCAGTGGTTGATGTGTACATATTTGGATTGTTTGAAGGTACTAACTTATACGTGATTCATGTTAAGAGAGCCACTATTATGCTTAAGGATATGCAACTCGCTCGTAGAATTCGTGGTGAGAGAGCTTAGATTTTTCAATCTGATTTCGCTCGTTGAAGGTATTGTTTAGGTGTTCTTTCATTGTTTTTGTTGCAAGATGATTGTTTGGTTATCTATTTTGTATCTTTGTTTTTGTGTAAATTGATGTATGTCGATGGATTTTGATTTGTTATTCTAATAGGTGATCTAGTAACCAAGGTGGTACAATTCATGAGCATCTATCCTAAGTGGCATGAAAACGTTATGGATTTGGATATGTTATTCTAATAGGTGATCTGGTAACCAAACAACTATCATGTATTTGCTAAAATAGGAAGTTAAATAAATCCTAAAATACACTAGATTATGGTAAAAATTGAGATTTTTTTTTTTTTTTTGAGTTTATTGAATTGCAAACTATGTGTAACTTTAATAACTCCCACGTGTCTATGTGTAAGTTTAATAACTCCCACTAATATTAGACAAAATCATTTGGAAAATACATATCTTCAAAAATGGTCTCTATAGTTTGAAATTAAATCAAGTTTGGTCCTTAATGTTTTTGTATCTTTAAGGTTGGTCACCATGGTTTGAAAACTTTTAATGGATCTTCCTTGTTGCTAACTTGATCACTTTTGGTCCCTTAAGTTTGAACATGTTCAAGGGAAAAATATCTTTTTACATACCACAAGCACCATATATTTTTTAAATTAAAAACAAGCCCTAAAATCCTAACAACCCAAAGTATCAACCATTTCATGTTGCACGACTTTGGCGATCTTGGAAGCTCCTATGTCCGCCTCCATCTTCCTTTACCTCTGCAACTCCGACAACGACAACTGCAACTCCGATCATTACTAGGCCCTCTATTTGGCGCTTAATGTTTGGTTCTAGTAACACCCTCATCCGAATCCCCAACATTCCCTCTACCATCCCCTACTTTCGACCCGACCACCTTCTTCTCCATTCCTCACCGGCGAGGATCATACCGCAACCAGGGGTAAACCCTCAAACCCTTTTGAATTATTGGGTGCAAATGGTTCTTCAGTAGTTGGTTCTACAATCGAAACACTTTCACCATTGATGTTTCTAAAGTACTAAGCACCACCAAGTCCACCATGAATTGGAATCGGTTCGATTCCTTTCTTTAACGTGATTCCAATCTCCTTCACGAGTTCTTTATTTTTTGTGAAGTTACTAGAATGCCCCAAGATCTCAATGGGTCTAGATCTATCTCTCTGTTGGATGTCTCTACCTAAAGGAGAAAGACATGGACTTGAAGAGATTTTGTGGATTAAGTTTCTTGTTAGGAGAAGAGGGTAATCGTTACGAATGGCGCTAAATTCATTTTTCAAGATCATATCTCCAACAGTTAAAGAAATCTCTTCGACTGGGACTTTGAGAGCGATTTGTAACCTTCGTTTGACCATATGTGCTTATCGTTTCGATCCAAATCATTCCGAATACACATCATCTTTCTGTTTGAATGAAGATTCATCTTCTACCTGTGGTTTTCAGTTTCATTCCTTCCATTGTGTCGTTTCCAATAGTGATTCCTTCCTACAGGACTCTTGAAAACTGATAGCGCCATTTTTGTTTGAACTGGGTTGTCTAGGTTGCGAGACATGAACAAAGGGAGTGATGAGGGTGAGCGTGAAGGTGAAGGTAGGCTGTGAAATACAAACAATCATTAAACAAGAAAATGGTATTTTAATTTTGACACCACCCATTTGATCAAATCAAGTAGGTGCAGTTTCCCCTAATCTGTACACAAACATCAACAAGAGATATAAAATTCGATTAGAGAAAACATAGAAGAGATACAATATCATCGAACTATGACAAACAACGAAATCAGAGCTAATCGAAATGCTTATTCTAATGTCATCGCCGACGAAAGGGTAGCTCCAGCCTCCCTCTTTCTCTCATCGCCGACTCACGACATACACACGCACATTTTTGTTTCTGTTTCTTTTTCCGCCAAGAAGAAATCCAAAGTGAGTGGGATCGGTGTATGCTTTATTTAAAACTTCATAAATAGTCCTTGTGCTATGTAAAAGACGATTTTTTAACATGTTTAAACTTAACAGAAGAAAAACCAAGTTAAAGGATATCTATCAAAAGTTTTCAAACCATAGGGACCTTCTTTCAAGACAAAAAAAATTAAAAGACAAAATTTTATTTTTTTTAAAGCCATGGGAACCATTTTTGAATATTTGTATTTGAAAAACTTTCACTAAAGAAAAAAAAAATAATAAATCTAAATGGAACATATTTGTATGTTGTTCCATTAGATACAATGGAAATGTGCAAGCTTGTCCTGTGAACGACTAGCTAGATGAAGCAGCTAAGGCTCTGTTTTTTATTTATCGGATATGACACTTGTGAGAATGTTTACAGCCGATGGTTATCCAAGTGGTGGTAACCAGTATAATTATGTTGAGTAACGAAACATGTAGAGTGGATTCGAAAACCACTGAAGAATATATTGAGCGATTACAATATGATAAATAAATTGTAACTACTCTAACATAATTTAAACTAGGTTAAAATAGAAAACGTTTAGAAATATTCCTTAGACAATAGATATGGATAATATAATACAACACCCCCTTCCCGTTCCAACTCAAGCACAAAAAGAATGAACCAACTTGAAGTTTGATACAAGAAATTGACAACTATATGTGTTTTGGTAAAGGTGTTTTCGTAAAGATGTTTTGGTAAAGATGTCACGTGGTTGATCTACGTTAAAGATTAGAATAAGATGCAGTGTATTTTCAAACAGAGAAATTGACTCATCAAAGTAATTATATTTTCGTTTTGTTTATTATTTGGGTAATTTTTTTATACACATCTAGGTAACGAACTTGTTGTAAGTGTTCACATATGACCGACTGTAGCAAGTTATAGCCGGTCATAATGGTCATATGTGAATACTTTCAACAAGTTTGTTATCTAGATGTGTAAAAAAAGTTACCAAAATATAAACGAAACAAAAATGTAATTTTTCTGATAATTCAATTTTCTTTTTTATTAAGGCGGTTGATTATAATGTTTGCAATATTAGTAGATACAGTTAAACTTTCTGAATACAATAATTATGACTATTTATGAACATTTAAATTGGCCACGACATGTTGGTAGCCGTTTTGGTAGCATAACTCTATTTTTTGTATATTAAATTCATGTAATACATGTAATGAACTTCATCGAAGATGGTGTTCGTCTTCATGTTATTGGTCTCAATCTCTAATACTTTTAGTCTATATTATATTTTTGTGGTTCCTGACTTGTTGTTTGTTTTTCTCTAACGAATTGAACATGCTTTGTAGGTATGCAAATCTCAAGTGTTTTGGTTGACACAGTTGTCAGTGTAAACAACTGGTTCGTTGATGGTGATTGCCATATTTATTGTCGAGTTGGTATGCCAACATGTATTCTTAATTTTTGCACTTATACATAGTAAATTTTAATTTTTTTTATATTTAATATCTTAAACAATAAAATTTTATAAAATGACGACGTGGTTTTTTCCTTGTCATATATGGAGTTTTATTATTATTTATTATTACTTTTTTTACCAGAGTAATGTAATTTAAAAAGATATTTACTAAAACGTTGTGATTTTAAAAATATTTACCATTTAGGCTAAATTCTATCTCACATCAAACCTAGAAGGTAAAATAAAAAAGAAGGAAATTAAATTATCAGGGTAATTACCTTTTCGTTGTGTTCATATTTAGATAACTTATTTTTTGTACACATCTAGGTAACTAAGTTGTTGGAAGTGTTCATATATGACTATTATGATCGACTGTAACTTGCTACAGCCGGTCATAATGGTCACATGTGAACACTTTCAACAAGTTCGTTACCGAGATGTGTACAAAAAAAAGTTACCTAAATGTGAAATAAATTAAAAGGTAATTACCTCAATAAGTTAATTTCCTTTTTCAAACACATATTGACAAACAAAGTGACACTGAATTGCATTATGTTTTGTATGTTCTTGAAAAAAACATCGTTTTTAGCAATCTGTATATATAAAATTATGATTGTCACACTCAATGTGTGTATATATATATATATA